AGGTCACCAAACGGATCTCTGTCACATGCGGGCAAGTTAGCACAAACCTTCTGCACTTCTTGCACTGCGTTCTCCTCAGCGCGGCGTCTCAGCCTTCTCCCAATACCTCCAACGCCGCCTCATCACTCTGCTCCAAGGCCCAAACGCTCCAGCAAAGATATTTTTCCTCTATTGTCTAGTCTGGTTTTCCAAATGCCACATCAGATTCCTGTTTCACCGAATGCAAATAACGTGAATATGCCTTTTTTTCCCCCTGAAGAATATAATTCATAGGAAAGTGTTTTCACGGCAACCCCAATTTAATCTCCTTTTTTTTCCCCAAGATCATACAAATGCTGATCTCCAGACTCATCTGCTCAACTGTCACATCCTCCCATCCCACTGTTGCTCTAATTGCTCACTGCTGAGCCCCCTCGATCATTTCAGTATCCCTCGACAATGGCTTGATCAGAACTGAAGGCAAAAATCCTCTCTTCTGCAAAGTGGCATTACAGCCTTTCATTTCTGCTTTTGATTCTTCCCTAAAACTGAGGCGAGGAAAGCACTGGCTTATTTCTGATACAGTGATGTTGCACCACAATCTCTTACTCTGTCTGTTCTCACCCCAGTGGATTTTTGTTTGGTATTTTTAACTCTAAATTTTCCAAGCAGCCACCTCCTGTTAGGTACTTGTTCCAGTTGCCAGTCCTACTTCAGATATATATCTATACCACCTCACTGAGGATAAGAAGATGTTCTTACCCTTTCTGAACACTGGGCAGTCTTGATCTCACCTAATGTGGGTCTTTGGCCCTTTGATTTCACCTTAGCTTAAAAATATATCGGGAAAAGACTCCGCCTCCTTAAATTGACTAACAAAAATTACACAGAAAAGGCCTAAGTACCGATGGCTGCAGAATGCCAGAAGCACTCCTCATCTGCAAGTCCAGTTGGTAATGGTGGCTCTACACAGGGGCAGATGTTAATTTGTTTAGCGCTTGGTGTGTTTGCGGTATTTTGAGGGGTTAGGGGGCTTATCCAGGACAAGATTTTTCTTTTTCACTGTAGCTCTCTCTGTGGCACTGCATCAGATGTCTTAAACTGAACTACTGCATACCACAGCCACTGCACTATTCTTACCCAGCAAGACAGAAATGATAACAGAGAACACTACCAGATTTGCTTGCTATGATCGGCTCTCCAGTAGTCCCAGTACATCAGTCAGTAAATGCACTTTTCCCCTGCTCCAAGTGAAAGCAGATACAGTCCCATAATTTAATACCCTGTATGTAGGCCTCAAAAGAGAAGGAGCCTCATCGAATTACGCCTTGTCTGACCTAGAAGCCCTCCCAAAGCAGTCCTGCAGCCTGGCCGCTCTGGTCCCGCTGCTGGACCAGGGCACAGCAGCATGTCACTGCCTTGACTGATCCAGTTCCCAGTCTCGCATCCCAGCTTAAAGTCTGCCCTAATGCCCTCAGACATAAGATGTGCAGCTTTCTGCTGTTGTACCTCAGTAGCTGTTCCCTCAATATTTAATCTTGTAAGCTGTTAATGCACAGATCTGTGCTAAGCGACGGGGTTCATCTTTTTCTGTGCTCAAAATTTGCTTCTCCCTTGTTTGAACGTGGCAAATGCCACTCCTCAGACCTCAGGTCAAAAATCACTCAATTTTAACCCAGTGAGAGTCCAGGTGGGTTTCTTCCTGCTGCAAGCCTTGCTTTTCTTCAAAAGCATAATAGAAAATTTTGGTCAGGTGGTACCTTTGCATTTCTTCGCATTTTTATTTATTCACCACAGCCTTCGTTTTTTCACTAAGCGAAATAAATAAAAGCCTGGAGGCAGCCAAGCCTCGTCTCCGGAGATGCAGGCAGCTGCCCCAGCTGCCTCTGTGCCAGCGCTGTGCTGCTTGGCCAGCTGCGACGCAGGGCACGTAGCCACTGCCCGGGACACAGGAGGAGGCAAGGCAGAGGGGCTGCCAAACCAGCATCTCTCCAAGGCCCAGCTGCCTGCCTGGCCCGACCCTGCTCTCAAGGGGAAGGAGCTGCTGCTGTCTTTCAGCTGTGAATTGCTGCTCCCTCCCTCCGCTCTCCAAAGAGACGAGTCACTTTGCTCCCAACCGGAGCAAGATTTTGGTACGCGACTCGGATGTTCTAAGGAGGCGATCAGCTAGCTGCTAGCCACCCTAGAAGAAATACATATTGCTCCATATGAAGTGGTGCATAAAGCATCCCCAGCTTCCTGGGACTAGACAAGCACAAAGCTAAAGCATCTAGCGCTTTTGTGGGAGACACAAATCACTCCGCTGTTGGGTCACACGCTCCCTTGGGCTTTCAGCACCAGCTAGGCCAGGGAGCCTTTTTCACGGATATTCTTCAAGACAGAAGTAATTTAAACTCCTAAACGCAACTCATCCTACAGGATCTATTTTCTGAGCAGTGTGGGAAGGTACCGGCCTGCACAACCATTTATTAGCACAAATAGGAGTGTATGTTTAACTCTGCGGAACGGGTAGAACAAAGGATTATTAAATAAAATTCCGATTAGTTCGGCTGAAAGCAAAATACCAGCTGGAGCCTGGGGTAACGCAGGCACGCTATCAGCAAATGTGTGCTGCCAGCGCATCTGCACACACACACCACCTCTGACCACAGGGGAGCCTCAGACTGGAAGAGCATAACCAAGGCGTCTCCATCGTGCTCTGTGCTCTGACAGCTCAGGTCCTGCCCTCCACTAGGCAAAGCCTTTGGCTCGACAGCACCGGTCGTAGCTGCACAATGGGAATGAGAACGACGAAACCCGAGTTTTCTGACTTGATGCCCTCCTACCAGTAGCCATGCTTTGTCGGCTTTCCAAGTGGGAACACTGCCGCCCAGCACAGCTATCGCAGAGTCCCACCGCCTGGAAACACACACATGGCACATCGCTCTCCCTACAAGGGGATGGCGCCTGCAAGCCAGCCTGCCTAACTGCAGCCATATTCATTAACAGCCCGTCGTTTAGATCCTATTGCAAAAGTTAATGAAGCCACTTTGCGAGAGGGCAGCTTCCCTGAGCAGAAGATAAATAATGTATATAAAAGGGGGCTGGGAGGGAACTGGCGCATCCTTGCAAGGTCATGCTAGAATGCATCACTGGCTGGCTGAGGCTGGGCTCCTCTGGTTAGAAGCCTGGAGCTATTTATGACTCATGTAATTAATTAATGCCAACGGGCGTTCTGCTGCAGGCACGTGGGAGACCAAAGGGAAATACGAAGCGAGCAGGTTAGGAAATGTAGTGGAGGTGGGGGAGAAGGATGACATTTCTTGCGGCAAGACATGCTTTGAAGTAATTATAAACAGTCCAAACAGCCAGCAGCTCTTTTGGCTACATCAGTAGAAAATCAATTAGGAGCTTTAAAAATGCATCGGCTCATATTTCAGACAGCATCAAGAATAAGAAGTAGCCATCTGAGGTAGGGCAGTTGCATTTCTAAGTGCCACACACTACCAGACCCACAGATCCTCAGACCCCGCAGTGCGGTCCACAAATGGTGTGACCAGTAGAGGGAGTATCGTTAATGCCTTCCCAATCGTCAATGTTTTTGGATGAGGAGCATTAAGGAAGACTGACGGTTTGATTTTACGCTTCTCTAAAGTCTGAAGACAAGTTTAACAGATGTAAGAGAAAGGAGCAAAGGGCAAAGTGAAACGTGGGCGTACGCCTTGAAAGCTGAGTCCCTGCAGGCGCTCAGGGCTCCCAACACATACCACCATCCCCTTCTGGAGCCTAGCTCTCAGACACCGGGAGCTAACCAAAACTCGCAGATCACATTAAGAAAGGGACCACGTCTGTGGCTTTCCTGCTTCAGTTTGCAATACTGCAGTCTCACACCGAACACTCAACATGTGGCGATGCTGAGTCATAACACTGCGCTTGCACAGACCGTTTGAGGACAATGAGAGCTTAACCTAATTTTGTCCCTTTGTTTGTCCTCTGCACAGAGGAGATCAATCAGTTCCACTCCCTGCTTTCACATCCCGGTGCATCAAGTGTCTAATACATTATATAGCAAAACTGTAAACACAAATAAAGCGCACCCTTTCCCTCCTCTGGTGCCCTAAAGTCCCTCTGGGCTGTCCAACTCCCACCCTGCCTGCATCCTCTCCCATATCTCTTTGTTGCCAGAATATCTTCTATCGGTTCCCAAATGTATTTAAGCATTGTCCCACCTCCCTCTTATCATAGCTGCCTGCAACAAATCCCTTCACATAACGAGGATTGCAAATTTGCTTACAACCCAGTATTGTTTTCCACTTCTACTTCTCTGTGTGCTTGTCTTTTCTCTCTGGACCCTTGCAGGGGCCAAGCACCACAGCACCAGTCTGACACTGCCATCTGGATGAGCAGCAGAAGCTGCCTGCAGTCTCAACCCTGGCTGGCAAAGCCTGGGAGGCTGCAGCATGCTCCCCTTCGAGCCTTACCCACCTCCACGGTCTAGGGGATCTTGCTTCCTACCCTCTGATCACTGCCAAAGCCCTCAGATCCTGGCTGGTGGGACTCCCTGCTGCTATCTGCTATTTTTCTGGAGCAAAACCATGCAAATGGATAGCAGAGATTTTAAAAAAAGAAGAAAAGAGTAAGTGAAATGGCAGTCGGTTTTAGTTTCATAAATATGTATGAGTGAGTAGAACAAGAGCAACAAAGTACTCCTTTCTGGTGGGCTGAGAATCCACACGAGCCTGAGTCTCCAGGGTAAAACACCAGCGAAGTAAACGACAACACGAACACCCACTTAGCATTCGTGCTACATACTCCTGATCTGAGCCTCACCAGCTTTAAGAACGCTTCTGTTAAATACTGTAATGCTCCCTGTAATGCTCCCAATTACAAGTGATCTGGATTGTTTATTTTCTAAACAGATTTCCCCCCCTCAGGAAATCCCATAAGCCTAAGACAAAAGCAGTCCTGAAGAGGTGTTTCAACCTCTTTTGGCTATACAATATCCACAGCTGGCTCGATTTCCCTAATTGTTTCATACTGACCTTGAGGATATTTCGGCCATTAAACGACTCCCGTTCCTTGAAAGATGATTTACCAGTCATTGCATAGTTTCGCTCTTCAGCTGTAAAGAGAAAAGTCACCACCAGAATGAGCTTCAGATGGGAGAACTGTGTGCGCTGTACTTTGCCCCCCACTCTCTACCTCCCCAAAGTCAGCTGCCAGCTAATAAACCATCCTTGCCCAGTTCTTTGTGCAAAAAAACACTTCCACTTTGATTTTAAAGAAAACAAGGCTGAATATGCAGGAATCGGTGTCTTTATCGGGATCACCTACGTTACCTGGAGGAAAGACCCTAAAACACAGCTACTGCTAGGGTGATTCTGTAGGGCTGATGGCTCAGTGCAACACATCTGCTTCTCTCTGGCTGATTTTAATCCCACATCCTGCCAGGGTGAGAGTCAGCACTGTGAGCGCTTGCATCGCCTGGAACGGCACCAAATACCAGACTGAGCATGCAAGCGTAATGCCAGACGCGATCTGGACGGCACCTATACAAACCTCTGCTGCCTGCTCCAGGAAGTACATATATGTGGTATGTATGCTTCGGCAGGGTGGGCACGCAGCCACACACACAGACTTTAAGAATAGCAACCTAGGCCTATAGCAACTGCCAAATGCCTACGTCTTAGATCCATTTCCCCAGAGCATGTCTGGATTTTTATATAATCCCTAAGTACATGATCTGTTCTTTCCACAGGACCTCTGCCTCACTCAATGAATATATTCAATATTTCTTTTTCATCTCCAGCATTAACTATGAAGTCCCTCTCACATCCAGCATGCTATTCAAATCCTGTATGGAATATAAAGTGACTTCTATGGCTATCTGTGTAATGCTCTCACCACTGTGTCTCAATGCCTCACATGCCTCATGGGGTTGTTCAGAATATAGACTCATAATGCCAGACGCAGCTGCCCATGTGCCTCCCCTAACAGAGAGCCACATCAGCACTTTGGGCTCACATTTTCACCAGTTTTCAGGGCTCAATTTGAGAGCTAAGCCTCTTCTTTTCAGGATTTCTACCACTGGAGTATGCTTACCTGAATTCAGTAGCTGTCATCCCCAAAGTCTGCTGCTGGGTGCCCAGAAAATAGTAACACAAACCATCTGCTGTTATCACTGTCCACACAGAGACTCAGAGAGGCAGTAACTGAAGAATACTCCACACAACCTATCGGCATTGCAAACTACACACCAGTGCAAGAGCATATGCCTGTTTACACGCAGAGAACAAGGCTGTAATACACTGCCCCTCCCTAAAGGCAATGCATCTGAGGCTGCTTTATAAAGTAATGTGATAAGAACAATGCTACAGACTGCTAGAGCAGACAATCTTTTGGCAGAGACAGCAGATAGCTCATATGCAGCCTCATAGCCGTCTGAATCTGATTTAACGAGAAAGAGACTGGAATCATGTTCCTAAACCAACAGGCAATCTTTAACTTGACCAAAGAGGATCATGTTTTTGTCTTGTTTAAAGGTCAATAAAGCACATCAAGTTGTTACTGAATTTCAATTTAATGTTGGGGCACAGAGAGCCCAAGACTTCACATGGTACTTGAACGCATTCTCTCTGGCCCAGATCTTATGAGTGCTACTGGTCAATACAGTTTTTGAAGCTATGACAAAGAACCTTAGAAAAGATCTGGAAAGTGCTCAAAGAATGCCTGCCTTCTTCAGCTCTGCTGATCGCTTTTTCATTTGCTTCTACATTTTATCTACTGACATCCCCCCACAGCCTTGTAGGTATTCTTGAGATTAAGAAAAATCACAAAATTAAAAAAGCAAACATAAAAGCCAACAAAAGTATTTCCTGACCAGTGGGACTACTTTAAATGCATTTATCAGTAAGGATGAAGATTACACACCACTTGGATCTTTCCTGAAGAGAGTGTTCATGACTGTAGCATGCAGTTTCACCCTATCCCATTCTTTAAGCATCAGGCCGGAGGCCACAAACCGCTCCACCAGTTGATCAGCGATCACCTGCAGTCTGGGAAGGCAAAAAGAGAAAGAACAGAGCCGTGCAAACCAAGGAGAAACTCCTGCATCGACAGCTTTTGGTTTTCAGCCAGGGAGGGCAGCATGTGTGAAATGAAGTCTCTGCATGCACATGAGGAAAGGGAGCTAGTCTCTGATGGAAAGTGAACAGAGCCATCAGGCTTCAGTTCTAATGGAAAAGTTCTGGCTGTTTTGCAAAGCTTCCCCAGTGATCACTTCTGCTGAAAATATTCCATGAAGAAGGGCAGATTTAGCATAGCAGAGAGCCTGTTCACAGTGACAGATGTTATTGGGACTTGAAGGATGCATCTTTCTACTGCCAGGGAACACAATGTGACTCTCCTTACAAATGCTAAAATCTGCGGACCCCCAGGGGACTTAGGCACCTTGACTGTTGGAGGACCTGCTCTGTTCAGGGACTGTGATCTGTACAGTGCACCGGGCTGGAGCTCAGACCCTCTCTGTCCCAAAGAAGCAACCCAGTCAGGGGGCTTAATTTCTGGGAGAGCCCAGAACGTGGTGACTGAGGGCACAAACCCAGACAGCACATCCTAGTGAGTGCTCCAGCTTCGGAGCTAGTGAGCAAGCAGAATCAAAGGACTTACTGCCACCTTTTTGTCTGGCCTTGATCTGCGATGAAAGTGGCCGTGGCTGCCGGGATCTGCAGGCAGACTTGTCCTAGGATAGGCAGCAGGAACAGGCAGCTGATCAGAGCAATGCGCTCACGTAGCCTACGTCTAAAGACCTGAAGGAACTTCAAGGCTGCTGCTGCCCCCACAAAATTTCTGCAGTGCCCTAGCCTTACCAAAAGCAGCAAGGATGTGCTAGAACAAGAGCTTCCTGTCCCTGAAAACAAGGCAAGAGGGTATTACTCTGTGCAGAAGAATTTGGGCTTCTCTCACCGTGTCTGAGGTGTCCGAGACAGCTCTCTGCTCCACCAGGTGCCACCACTTTGGTGTCTCTGCTGCAGTGGGAGAGGCAGAGTGTGGCCTCTCTGAGGCTGGCCCCCAGAGCCTGGGGCTGCCACGCTCCAGATGCCAGCTCCTACCCCACTGCTGGTTTTGTACTGCCCCTCACGGGCTGCCAGCCTCCATGTGACGATTTCAAGACTCTCAAACTAGCAATTGTCATGGTTTTCTACCACTTTCTGGCTTTACTTCAGTGATTTTTAGAATTAGCAACGACAAAGATTAAATGAATATCATTACAGACAATACTAAAACAAATTAACAGAGAATAGTTCAAGTGAAAATGGTGCTTTATTACGTTATAAAGTTAATCAAGGAAATAAAACAAATTAGAATGAATTATAATGAAAATTATTTTCCATGTGGGAGGCATCAGAGCATGATCCCTCTCTCAGTCTGAGCCATTATATGTGCAGAAGGGCTTGCCAACCCCCAGTGCTGTCTGCAGTTATGCAAGCTAACTCAGGGTAAATCAAATCTCCTGCTTTATAGCTTAAGCTGATCAAGATCATCCAAAGACCAGGAAGGAACTCCACCCCTCAGCTATGCCAGGAACTACACACAGCTAGCAAGACGTCTTGCATGAGACAGGAAGGCACACACCTCTCTTAAATGCGGGCTGCAGCAGTCTGATCCAGCACAGCAAGCCACGTGGCTGCTGCTCTCCTCTAGTATTGGCCTTGAAGCCGAGAAACTCTGTTTTCTACCTGCTTTCCCCATTTCCATAAGCAAAGCACAGCAAGTTTTAGCAGGCATGAGGTGCACGGAGCTGCTCAGCAATAATTCATCTAGCAGACGAGAAAACGAAGCAGAGTTTTCTGGAGGGAACACCATTTGTCTCATCTTTATAATCACTGTTTGTCCAACACTGTGTCTGCTGGAACCTCAAAGGAAGCAAAAGAAGCATTCACTGCTCTCCATCAACACAAAAATATCTTCTTTCCCCTCTGCGAAGATAAATGTTTTCTGAATGCTCACTAGCATTTTAGGAACTATATTAGGGGAGAAGTGCCAGATGAATTAATTTGCAGGTGAGGGCAGGACCAGCCTGGACCAAGGATAAAAACTTAAAATCACTTAGCCCTTTCTGAGCACGCTGCTATGCAAAAAGCAAAAAAGGTGTTGCAGAAGAGAAGTCTGGCAGCCTCCAGGTGCCATGCAAAGCAAGAGATCTGGGTTTGGTCAAAACCTCAGCTAACAGATCTCTGTGAAGGACAGAGGAGATATCAGCCCTTTCTCAGGAGGGCAGGTACGGGTCATTTTCAGTTTCAAGGCAAGGCGGATTTGAAGAACTCATTTCTCTCCCCTGCCAAAAGCAGCTCTGCCACCCCTAATGCACATCAGCATTTTCTGCTAGCATTACGGCTAAGTGGCTTCTCAGCAAAACGGATACAGCTGGTATCTGAAGCAGACCACAGTACTAGTACCAACAATTCAAGCTGTTCCCAGACACAGGCAGACATCACTGTCCACTTTAGGCCCTACTTACGCTCTACAGGATTTTTCTACCAGCTCCTCGGGTCACAGACTTATTTTCAGATGCAAGCAGACTCACAAGCACTGCACCTCAGAGATGATCCAGAGCTCGGGGTGACTCAGGAGAAAAGAGGCCCATACCTCAGCTCCGAGAGCTGACACTTCAGACGCTTTCCATAACAAACCCACCGAAGGGCATTTGGGTCATCCAGTGTCTGCCTCCGTCTCGTCTTTCTGAGGGCTTCTGCCTTGTTTCTCCCTGCCCTTCTCTTCTGCCTCCTGGCTGATCTCTAGCTTGTCCTGGTTCTCCACCCGCCCCGTTTGTTTTAATCTCACTTCTTTCAGGGTAGAACAGACTTCAAAGTGGAAGAGCCAAGAAGAGGAAAAGATTTCAATTCCTGCTGCCTCCCAGCAATTCTTACATTTTCATTTTCCCACCCATTTCCTTATCCCACTTCCGATCTCTTACTTCAACACAGCCTCCAAAGTGCAGTTTTAAGCAGGCCCCCCCGCCTTGTCTCCTCAGCCCTCAGGGAAAGGAGATGCCAGAACATGTCCTTTCTTCCCTGAGCCAGTCCCTGCTTACAGCCTCCCTCCTCCAGCTGCACTGCTTCATGCTCCTCTGCTAGCTCCTGCTGTCCTCTGGCAATGGGAACAGACACAAAATGGCAGCACTGCCAGAAAAAGAGAAGGCTAAGGCTCAGGGAGAGAAGGCTAAAGCTCTTTTGGCTACTCCCCTACCCCCTTCCACACCCATCTCACAACTGGCAGCATGGAATACAATAGCTCTTACATTTCCCTAGTCTTCCAGAAAGCACTAAGAGAAAAGACGGTGCTGCCACTGGTGACGTACTTGTCAAAAACGGGACAGAGGAAGGTTGACCAGACACGGCCACATCCCGGGCAGCACTGTTTGTAGAGCTAAAGCCATCAGCCACAGTGGCGAACAGCATAAACACATGCACTGACACCAATCAGGCTTCAAGATTTCACACCCAGTGCCTGTTCTGGGCTGCTCACAGACACAAAAACGGACTCTGTAATCAAGTCATGCTTTTCTGAGGACCTTCTGGTGTAACTGGGTCTTAAGAGTAATTAAGTGCTGCAGAATATGCCAGGCTGTCTAGATTAATCTGGATTGCAGGTTGGGAACTAGACAGCAGAGGCCAAGTTGTCCTGCCTTCTAAGTCATCTCAGGAGTATCTCCTTGGCCATCTTATCACCACACAAGCCACGACACCATTATTCAATCTGACAGACTGCTACAGAAACAAATGACATCTTTCAGCCGCACCACCAGTGACTGATTTAAAGAGCAAACACATCACTGCCTTAACCGGTTTAGGAGGCAAGAATGACTTCATCTTCCTGACTGCTGACCCAAGGACTGCTAGCAGTACCCAATAGCTTCAGACAGCACAGGGTTTCTCTGGCACACTGCTACTGCTGCCGCAGCACATCAAGGAGGAATGAAAGAAAGGAGCATGCGGAACTCACCTGTCAGAGCCATCCTTCATGTGGACTTTGGCGTAAAGGACATCCGTCATGGCAGGGTCATCGTTCATGTACTCCACTCCTGCCACCTCCACGGTCAGGGGCTTGCCTCCAGCAATTTGGCTAAAATGCAAGAAATCCCTTATGTTAAAAAGTGAAACAAGACACCTGCTTTTGAAATGCAACACATAGTACTCCTCATGCACACACTAAATATTTGGTTTTACTAAGGGAATGACATAAAATACATTTTTTGCTACAGTTAAACACAACTTTGTGGTTAAGCGGGACTTAAATGCTATACAGACCATATGGGGCAGTGAACTCCACTGAGGAGATATTTTCTTTCCGGTATCTTTCAGGTTGTTTGCATTGAAAAAACCCAAACACAAAAAAGGCTCCCTAATTTCTAAAGCTCAAAAGGCTACAGCTGCTATTGTCTCATCATCTCAAGAAATCTTGTAAAAAAATTTAAACTCATACGTTCAGTGTTTTAGACACACATTAAGTCAACTTGTCAGTGTTCACAGGCCATCTCAACACGAAGATCTCCATTTACATCTCAGAAAACCCATCAGCGGTAAAATGGTACAAGTTCTCATTCCAAAGAAGCTCCTGCCTCCCCTGTGAAGAGAGCGATTGTGACACAAAGTCTCCAGCTCGTTGATTTTCGCTGGGAAAAGTACTCGATACAGAATGCAGTTTTAAGTACACTTCAACATCCACTTACAAATGCTGGAAGTAAATAGAGCTGTTTTAAAATCAGCTCCAGCTACTCCTGCAGGAAGGCGAAACCAAAAACACATGCAGGATGTAATATGCACTCCCACACCTGCAAACACACTGTGAAGCGTATCTGCTTCCAAACAGGCCACCTCCTTGCCTTTACCACCAGAACATCACAGGGAGGCAGGGCACCGCAGCGAAAGCTCCCTGTGAGTAAGTGCCGTTGTCTCATTTAACGCCGAGGTCTCGTGAAAAGTACAGGGAGTGTCCGGGCAGGCAGAAGTAATAAACACGAGTTAACAATGTGAGCGTGACTTTGCTCTAACCTTGCTCACTTCTGTTCAGCTTGCCCAAGAGACCGCCTTTGAGATTCTCAGCAAAGCTTCCCAGGTGGAACAAGGAGAGCGCGATTTCCCCTTCCAGTACGTTTACTGGGAGGAAAACAGCGCAAGTGTACTGTCATGCACATCACACCAAGAGTGCTAAAGGCCACATATTCTAAAAAGGGTCAAAAAGGGCACATCTACCCTCACAGGGCACTACCTGCATTTAGAAAAGTAAATGAACACTAATGAAAGTTTATGTGGGTGGAAGGGAGCCTAAATTAATTTTCAAAGTATATTGATTTGGGTGTAGCAGGGGAAATAACCTAAAGGTTACATTCAAGTGTTGATTCCCCCTCCACTAAAGGAAATAGAGAGTAAAGATTTTCTTTGCCTCAGTTCAATCCACTTATGAGGAAGCTGGCACTTTCCAAATACTGTGGGCAGAGCCTGCCTCTGGAAACGCACTTCCATTTCTGTTCAACAGCTGAACAACTGGCGCTGTCATTTTAAAGGCAGAGGTATGAATTTTGACCATGCATTAATTCCCACAGATATTAGCTGGCACAGCATGGCTAATTCTCCATGCACCAAGGCAATAAAGAAATAAATAAATATGAAGGATCTATGCTCTACGTGCAAAGGCTTTGCAGAAATAAATAAATAAACCAATCCCTCAGGCCATCTCCAATTTCTAAGCTGAACAGAGATAAGCTAATTACAGTGTCATTCAACCACATTTACAGTTAAAGCCCTAACATCTGCAGCTCAAGTGTTAACAGGCAGTGAGAAAGCCCCAGTCCTGGAGCAGCACTGAACGCTTCAGACTGATTACTCACACGGCTCATGCTGGCTTCCCTGCACACAGCTCCCCGCATCAAGAAATGCATGTCAAGGACACCTCAGCATCTGCTCTGAGGCAGGAGGGAAGCAGCGTGCCAGAGCCCACTGCAGGCAATGTGCGAAGGTAAGGGAGCTCGTCCCTCCCTCTGCAGCAGGCAGCGGACAACAGCAAAAATTGCTCACGCAAAAATAATGGGGATGCATGTGAGAAAAAGAAATGAGTAGAACAGGTTCTCAGGGAATGCTGAGGGTTTGAGCTGAGCTGCAAGATGCTGTAAGACTCTTTGTGACCACTGGGTGATTTCTTCTGCTCCCACTTGAAACATTTCAGCCTTTTTCTAAATTTCTAGAGTTGAAATAGACTATTGAGCTGCTTTTCTCTTCGCTGTCCCTGGTCAAAGACAGCTTGCTGCTTTTCCCCCCACTCATATCCTTGGTGATGACATCCCATTTTTATCACTTACTCCACAAAGTCCTCTTTGCATCGCTGTAGGAGGTCACACGCTTTCTGGATCTCTTGCTCGTTCAGAAGTACCAACGTCCCAAGAGTCAGGTGAAGCTTTGCAGGGTTCTGGAACAGGCTGCTGCTGACCCCATGATCCTACAAATCAGTCAATCAATCATATAAGGTGTCTTACCTCACACACAACCACACCCCCCTCCATCAGAGGGATAAATACTACAGACAACAGGTACCAACCCACTGGCATGGAACCTTTTATCTCTGCATCACTGGTCAGGTTGGAAGTGACTCAAAGCTGAAATGAGAAACAAAATTTCACAGGCTTTGCAAGCAAGCCAGCTCAGCCTGACAGGCGAGGTGCAGCCCCCCACCGCACACACACTCCCTGCCTGCCTTTTCATCAGAGCTGCTGAATGGCAGCCTGGAAGCTCGTTACGACAGGCTCTAACTCAGGACCCAGGAACAGCAGCACTCACTCGTACAGGATTTTGAGAGACTTCCACAGCTGTCAAAGTGGCAGCTGCCATCAGCAATGAACTCAACACAAGTCAGCACAGATTTAAAACTTGAGTCAAGTCCATTTTTTGTGCAATAAAGCTGGAACCAGCTGTAGTGACAAGCTCTAAATCGTCTCTAAATCCTGTCTAAACACAGGTTGCACCTCACAACACAAGCACAGCTAATACCAGCTCTGATAATTACATTTTTCTCGTTCCCATGTGCCCTATAGTTTGCCAAGATGAATTAAGTTTAAATTCCCTTTATAAGAAGAGCTACGTGTTGTTGCTGGGGAAGAACTGTTCCCAGGTGGAGCAGTGGTTACATTCAGCTTTAAAAAACACGCTCTTTTGTTCTAGGATATTTATAAAAATACCTCGAGGACGGTTAACACACCCATATTAAAACAATTATTTCCACTTAGTGGCCATTTCCCATCAGCACATTAAGTAACCTCCACTTTTAACTCCAGAAGAAGCCAACTTGCCAGGCCACTAAAGCCTTTCTCTGTCTGAATAAAGTTCACTGACCGAGAATGACAGCTTTGAAGTTTCTAGCTGTGCTTCAGAGTTTGAAATAAAACCTTTCAGATGTTTAAATACTGCAGTATCTCAGCCTGTCAGAGTTTAATGCCCCACATCTCACTCAGCATTTTTCATGTCTAATGACAACATCCATACTCTTCTTTACAGTGGTGCTTATGGGCGGGACTAGAGATGAGCCAGCCTGCAACATGGAGGCCTGGGGCTTGCTCCAGCAGCTGCAGGCTGGCAAAGCGTGGTTGTCCCCAGAAAAAAGAGAGCATGTATGTACCTTCCACCGCTGCTAATTACTTTACTGCTAATTGAAACCCCAAATCATACCATGCTAGTAGCGGCAAAGCATGTTGCAAACCTCAGCACTGTGCAGCAGCCTGAAACAAGCACGGACTAACTATGTCAGGCACATCAGGAGCAAAGGAAAGAGGGAGGGCTCCATCTCCCTTCTCCCCACCTTCCCCTCGCTGCGGTAAAAGCCTTGTGGCTTCCTTGAATTCATCCTGCTGTTAACATGCATGACAGGACATGACATCTCTCCACCAGCTGTTTTTCTCCAATGGTATCTGTAGCCAGAGAATATTTGGCCTATCACAAAACAATAGCTCGGGTAACAGAAACTGAGAGAAAGTTCAATTTATCCTTGCCATGGCCAACCAGTCACTCCCACAGTGTGCACAGATGATGTACAGTAATGAGAAAGTAGTTCGCAGGTCAGAAAGCAAAAGCCCTACCCTCATTTTCTGCCCCAGCACTATTTGTACTGTAAACATCAACCTGCCCCAAAAGCACCATTTTCCCCTGAGCTTTCCAACACCTGAGTGTGGGCTGGTAGCTGACAAAGTGATGGCACGTCACCTCCACAAGCCACGCTACCACTGCTGGGGAGATTAGCAGGCAAGGGCAGTGCACAGTGAGCAGGCCAAGACCTAGATAATCTTCCTGGTTTACTCCCTAGTATTTCAGACAGCTCCTAAAAACCCTGCTTACACCCCTACTCTTTCACAGGCCAGCAGATCCCACCTCTCCCACGCATAAAATAGATGCTACGTCAGAGGTAGCTCTCCTTGGAACAGGCAACATTTCTGCGGGCGTCTTAGCAGCCCTTCATGGCTGGATGCTGCTCACCAAGATGCAAAAAAGGTTGAACTCACTTATTCTAATCCCAGATTATGATATGCTATCAGCGACCGCTGTGGCGCCTCACAGGAAGCTGTCCTGTCCAGTGGTATCAGGCCTCTGCAAACTGACCAGCAGGGCCAGACAACAGCAACGCAGTGCCTAGAAATATGTGTTCATAACTACTGCTAAGGAAAAAAACAAACCTCCTCCTCCAGGGAGAACAAGCCCAAGAGAAGTGATCCTGTCAACACTGTGATTTTGGGACTTTATGGACATCTTCCAAATACCTAAGGAACCTTCTCAAGGTAACCTACAACCATAAAAGCAGGAGTGAGGAGTGAGATTCAGCATCAGAGATGGGCAGAGGGATCCACCGGGATCTAAGCCCTGCTCTCTGAGTGCCTCTCGGTGACAAGCTCTTCTTTCACCAGTTTCCTCCCCCATGCAGTGAAAGGTGGGATCTCCTTCATAGCACAAGTCACAGTGGCTTGTGGCAAGTGGCGGCTTCCAGCCCTAATGAAAGCAGAGCACCAGATTAGGGAAGGCAAGGTGTCACAGCAGGGAATCCCTATATTCTACAGGGGAATCTGAAAGCAGCATATTTGCAAGAACTTGCTGGCAGATAGAAACACATAAAACAGACTCTATCATCCCTCTAAAAATGTACTGTTCAAACTTGGGTTCTGTACCGAGAGGCAGGAAGAATATCCCCTTTATGCACCATCCTTATGTGATGACTGTCCATTCCAGCTTATGCCTCTCCCTGCCAACTGCCCTGTCATGATGAAAAAAACAACTCATTTCCACTCAGCCTTAAAAATTAATTTTTCTTCTCCCTCCTGCTACTTAGATTCCACCTTTGCTCTTCTCCTTTAGAAGGAACACAGAAAGGGTTTTATCTGGAGTCTCCACCTCTCTTTGTAAAGCCCAAGCATGTTGTTCCTCCAAATCTAAGGCCCTGTAGTAGGGAAACCATAGACCACAACACACCTCAGGCCTTCTACATGACAAGGCAAAGGATCAAACTCCTTAGCCCTTCCTCCCTGGCTGCATTCTCCCTACTGTCTTAAGAGCTTCCAATGTTTGCAGACAGCTTTATGTTTTTGGTTTTTTTCTTAATAGCAGGATACTGCATGCCAGCTATATGCCCTCTCCCACTCTGATCCACAAACAAAGGAGCGAGCCAGAAAAACAGCATTTCCTCAGAAGTGACTGAAGAGCTGCAGCCTGATAAACCCCTCCCATTTTCTGTCCCTTCCACTCTGAGATATAATATCTCATTAGCAATGTTTGATATTTACAGGTTGCCATATATTACAGCAATCATATTTCTTTTCCATGCTACATCTGCAGCCTGTTAAGACTGCAAATGCTGTGCTTGCACAGCTCTGAAAGACCCAACTGTGATTTTTCATGGCAATATTACTGCAAAATCTCTTCCCTCTTCCACCTGCACACTCAGACAGACGTTTCAGTCCTCCTCACTCTGACACTTACATGACTGTGCGAGGAGAATTCCAAGGTCATCCAGTCATCCCGACTTCCCACTGCACCACATCAGTAATGAGGCTGTCCAGGTGAGCCACCTCCCCATATTTATATTAAATTAGCCTCATAAGAGCCTCCCCTCGGCCCTGCTTCATTGCCTGGCAGCCCTGACCATACAACAGTGTGAATGACATCTGAAGTGTTCCATATTTCAACACAAGGTTCATCTTATAAAAGGTCTTAAAGACACACACAAAAAAAAAGTTAGAAAGCATATACGCACCAACATAACCCTATGCTATAAAATATAAATGAATGGTTGTCATGGTAACTGCTTCAGAGAGAAATAGAGTCCCTCACAAATGCTCAATGGCCAGAAGAAATCCTCACATACGCACACCTGGTCCTTTCCCTTCCTTACCGTTATTACCAAGCTTCATTCAAAGCCTGGAGTTTACCTAATTCTGCAATGTTTTGCACCAGCAAATTGCACCAGGAAGAGAAGCGCACCGCTTCTGTCACTGAAACCTATTCAGATTTCTCCAAGTATCCTGAGAAATCCTGTTGCTTTCGACAAATCTATAAGCTCTCTTATTGCTCTGTGAGGCACAGTTTTGAATTACTGTTTTTCATTACTGATGTGCTTTCTACCAGACCCTGCTGTGAGATAAAGTGGTATTAGAGTGGCATTACCGGCTGGTGGAGTGATTGAGAGACATACGGGGCTGCAATATACTCCTTGAACTAACAGGCAGCAATATATCTGGAAACCCTTTTCCTAATACCAGAAGGAAGGGCAGAAAAATAAAGCACCATATATTCCTACGCTATACATATGCAAACCCCCAAATACCTGCTACTGACCAAATTCTATATTTCAGACTAAAAATGGAAACTCTAGAGCTGATGTAAGCAGTAACAGGAACATTTCAGGCCCTCCTGAGAGGCACAGGACACCAAGCAGTGCTAACACACCCCCGCAGCTTCCAGGCCAGGGCACCTTGTGGCCACACAGCATGGAGAGCGGGAACTACAGCCCCAGACCTTCTGCCTCCACCCATATAGATGTGTCCTGACATAGGACAGCTTCAGCTGCCATCGTTTTGGGAGATTCCCCAAAAGCACCTTGATGACTCGGCAGCAGCAAAAGGCACACCATGTCTTGAGTGCCACATTCTCTTGGAGATATTGCTATTACTGGTATTAGGAGGATTCATGCCTCGGTGCTGGTTCTGAGTACAGTTCAAGTCTGAGGTTACTAAAAGCCAGAAGTAGCTGTTAGGCTGAAATGTAATCCCACACGCATGCCTGTGCTGCAGGGTCCCCGACCATGAAGCAGAGCCTTATAGGACTCAGTGCTGTCCAGACACAGAACAAAAACTGCAGGAGAGAGAGAAGGTCAGGCAAGAGGAGGAAAAATTAACATGACTAGCCTGGTCAGCAGTGGTCTCAGCACTCCTCTGACAAAGCTTGGGTTTCTGCAGCTTTCTAGGGCAAGGAGCACGTGAAGGTTTGCCGACGTTCCCAGCCAGCTCCTTCGGAATGAGACTGACAACACTGGGGAAAGCACCAAGGTAAATTGGTGAACATGTTTCTAAGTGGATGGCAGACCTCCCTGCCTACCCAGGGATGCAAACCGATACATAAGAGTGAGCAAGAGACAAACAATGTGGCAGAGACACATCAGGAGGGGTCTGGAGAGCAAGTAAGATCACCAGCAGAGGCTGGGCCAATGGAGGGCTGCAGAGATGCAACCAAACCAGCAGGCAGGAAAAATGAGTGCTCTGCAAGAAGAGCTAGTCCTGTGTAAGGCCGGTGTGTTGCAGGATTAGAGACACAGGATGAGAGCATGAACGACAGCATTAGCCGCAAAGGTGAATAAAAGAGGCCACATCTTGGAGATGTGACACTGAAAGGATTCACCTGACACCGAGGCAGCCTGGAAGCCAGAACCCAGCAAGACATATGGGATGACACTGAGGTTACTGCCCTGTACAGCAGGCAGGTCTGGGTTTGCTGTCCATGGAAAGGGACAAAAGAGATCCAAAGGATCTGCTGGCAGACAGCTAGAGGGAGGAGAAGGATCAGATAAGTGGAGTCCAGGATGCCAAGACTTCAAGCAGAGCAGGGCCAGACCTCGAGGGAGATCAAGTTAAAGGACTTTAACAGCCATAAGCCCAGGTAGAAGGGGATAAAGGGCAAGAGAAGCACCAGCCTGAAAGCAGCGGTCTCAGTCCAGGGCCAACGGCATGAACACCCACTACCAGAGCCCCATGCTGAAGTTACCGGCCCCCCAAAGAGCCGCTTCTCTCCCTCTAACTTTGGTGTGCTCCCACACAAGGACTAGAACTAGAAACCAACAGAGGGAGCCAGGCCACCACTGACGCCAGCCAGAGCTCCAGCACTCTGTCCAACCAACACTTGCTTAGGCTAATGTTTCCATCCCCCTGTCTTCAGGGCTTTCCTTTAACAAAGGTAAGCTTTAATAAAGGTAGCTGCTGCTGGCTAATGGGGATAGACCATCGAGCCAGTGATACCCTCCTAGCCTAAGGAAAGGGTGCTCATGGCATTGCACTGGTTGCTAATCCCTGGATCTGTTGGCCAGTTTCAGTTGTATTTAACATCAGGTGGAAACACGAGTGATAGAAAGCTCCTAAGATGTCATGGAAATAGGCAGCTGGGTGTAGAAGAGGGACTTAAATCAGAACTGCCAGAAAAGACAAGACTGCAAAGCCAGCTCAGTTCTGCTCTCAGAGATGAGACAAGTGACATGCAAGTGACCACGAAAACTTGAGCAAGAACTCGTATTTCCTCAGATAGCAGATAATTCACACCCACGGCATGAAGACATAGGAAACTAAACTTCTTAAGCTGTGCTATCTGCAAGACTATATTTTCCCCCTTGAAAGGCACAAGCAGAAGTGATGGACACGAAGGTAAGAATATCAGCCCACAAAATCCTGCTGCGTGTATGCAATCTAACCTGCAGCGGCCATAAAGAGGAACCCTTCTCTCTTGCCTAGAGATGTCCTCCCAGCAGACTCAGAGGACACAGCAATTTAATAATACTGTTCCCTCTCCTCAGCCTGGCCCTGTGCATTGACGTACCACTTCTGTCAAACTAGAAGCATGCTAAAATAGACCAGGGAATACACAGCTTTCACGTCGTTCTGTTCCTCATTTCCCTATGCCTAACTATTTCCTGCTGCTCTCAGTGCAAGATCTGAAGGCAAGTAGGAGGGACTGTCAGCACAAAGTCTCATGGGGAAGAAGGGAAGCGATTAGATTTGCAGGATGGCATGTGCTACCAAGTCATTTCTTGCTCAGCTCCGGTAATGGCACACATCTTCCTTCACTTTCAGTAACCAAAAGAAAAGTGAAACAGAAGCAGCAGCAGACTTGTGAATTCCTACATGGTTTCACAGTTCTGTAGAAATTGTATAAAATGTAGAAAGGTCCACTACATTATTTAGTGGTTTTCCTATTAAAAACAAAAAAACCCACCAAAAACAACTTCAACCCTCTTTTGAATCTTAGATATCCTCCCACCTAGGAAAATCTCTAAGGAGAACAAAGTATTTTACTAACAATTTACTAAGTAAGCCATTCTACTTTCCAGAAGTTTTCACAACAGCACTCAACAAATTCACAGCAGATCTGTCAATTTAAGTAAAAGGCTGTTAAAAATACATTCCTAGGAAATAGAATAGAATAAGGCCTTCAAGGTAAACGCCAAAAAGCTATCTCAGTAAATGAAATGGTACTCTGCCGAAGGGCTTCCACTTGATTTTAATTCTCCTGTGGATCCTTACCTTTGAGCATTTCTCCAACACTTCCTCCTTGAACTGCAGGAACTTCTCCTGGATGGCAGGCTGGTTGAGAGCGAAGGACAGGAAGTGTGTGAAGGGCTGCTTCTTACGGAAGCTGTCCAGGAGAACATCGATCCGTGTTCGGGCAGAGATGACACTGCTGCGATGCTGCCCTGTAATCACTACAAGGAAACAAAACAATATCTGTCTGGTTTCCGTGAAGCTACAGTGAGACTACTGACATCCATGTCCATGCAAAACAAAGAGTAATTAAATGGATCGTGATTTTACATGATGCTTATCCATCCACTTTAAAATATCAATATTGGAGGATATTGTGAAGGTAAGAACATTTCACCCAGGAGATGACAGGAGGAATTAGAAAAACCTGCACAACAGCACCTCTCTACTGTTAGCCCCGGGCTCACTGAAGAAGTGTTAGGAATTAAAACCCCCAACCCTGCACAGAGAAATATTGCCAGACTCCATGCTTGACTTAAAATGCCTGACACGGCTGTGCTTTCCTCTGTAAAGACAGGATGATGGCATCAAAAGTATCCCTCTGCTCTCAAGAAAGTCAGCTCTGAGTGCCTAAACAATAACCAAGAGTCTGTCATTTCAGTGGCTCTTCAGATTTCTAGAGCATTATTTCAAGTTTTCATAAAAGCAGTCAAAGCAAAAGAGAAAAGAAAATCTATCAAAGATCAAGATGGCCTATATTGTTTGTGCATGCACTTCAAGGCACCAAACAGAGAACACTTGAGCTTGAAAGGAAAGAACTGCAAGGAGCAAAATTTTCTTGGCTTCCTCTTATTACATGTTTTCAACATCTCTCAACCTTCCTAATAGTCCTTCACAGTTCTCAGGAAGAAGTCAAGACCCACTTCTTGAGAAGTACTGCCACATTCCTCTGCAGCACCACAGTTGGATCCCCCCATCACTTACTCCTCACAGCTCTACCACGAACGTAACTGCACACCGTGCCAATTATCAGCGGAGCGTGCGTAGGGGGCCCTCTGGATATCCATTCAGACAGAAACCCACATGGGCCAGCCCTTATGAGCAACACCTCCTTTCTTTTTAAGTCACTGGAAGTGATGAGAAGGAACATACGGTACAAGAAAGCCTGCTCTCACTATCAGGATCAAGTGAAGTGACAACACCAGAAAGGCAGCAACATCATCAACACACTTCTCATATTAAAGCAGATGCTGAAGTTTATTTCATGCATAAATATACAACACGGTAACTTTTTCTGGATGTATATTACAGTTTCTTAGTAATGGAAATGGTATTATTTTAAAAACAAAACAAATCCAACACATTCAGGCCCAAAGTTCTCAAAGCCAGTTATTTAAGGCCCAGAAGTGACTTCAGTGAGACTATTCTATTCTTCGGATTAATTCCCCCCCCACCCCCCGAAAAAACTTACACTGATTTATAAGCATTTATAGACAGAAAAAATAAACTCAAGAGAAAAGTGAAGTGATTTTCCCAGGGCCATAAAGTGAGTCAGTGCCATGTCAGAAGCAGGAATTAAAGGAAAAACACCTCCTATACCCTCTCCCCGCTCAGATCATGTCTGTGCAAGAGCTAATGAGAGAACACCCATTTTGTGCATGTTAAACTCACCAATTTCTCCTTCCACTCCAGGCTTGGGAATGCTGATGGAGGTTCGAGTCTCTGTTTCTAGTCTCTTCTTGGTTTCCCCTTTCTTCCCAATGATGTACCTGGAAGCATAAAAGTCCAAGGGAGTCACCCGCACAGTGTCGCTGGGCCACTCTCCATCACATCTGTCCAGCCAGCAGATTAACCGTGTCACAGATCAACCAGGCTCCGAGATGGCTCCAGGCAGCTGGGTGCCCCTGGACTCGGTATCTCTGTGCTAGAGAGATGCAGGCACCCAGCTCCACCAGCAGGTCCAGGCACAGAGGCTACTCCAGGACTCCACACGTGACCAGCCCAGGACCACCGGACGATGTTGACCCGTGGCTCACAACTGGCTTAAGCTAAAACAAGTCAGTCGGTCCATGATAGCTCTACACAGCACATCCTGCCACAGCTTATTTGTCAGCTGGGTTATCCCTTTTTCCCATTACTTCAGCTGATGAAGAACTAAGGGCTCTTTTTCTGCTTTTTGCTTTGCTCGAGGTAGTCATTTGCCAGCATCCAAATACACAACAGAACACTTTTCCTTCTCTACATTACTGTCAAAAATAACTAGATAAAGCTTTGAACACTACAGGCTTCCCAGTAAACATCAGATTGGAGTCAACAGTCAATTCCAGTCGTGTGTACTTTCTCTCAAAGCTTTCACAAACTCCCCCTGCCAGGCTGCTTGCCCCAGTTCTTCCTCCCCTTCTCCTTTTATGTTCAAGGGAAGAGATGCTCAAAAACTCTCCTGCCAGCAAGAAAGCACCACCTGCTGTCTCTGTCACAGGGAAGGCTAGGAGTCAAGCGTGGCACAACTGCACTAGAAAGGCATCGCCAATTTTCCCTTCCCAAACGCTAAAATCCACATCACGGAATACATTTCAGAGATCTGGCGCTTACCCCGACCTCAAAAAAATATTCTGCGCTCAACTGCTTCCTCAGCCAGTGGCAACTCAAACAAACCAGAAACACACAGGCTCACTTGTATAGTGGGCTGGGAACGTCCACTTTGCACTGGAAGCCTTTCCCAGTCTCTTCCACCACAAAGGCATCACAGGGTTCGTCTGCGCAGTCACTGGGGCCTACCAGGAAAAAAACAACAGACCTTGTACAACCTCTGTAAAGTTTGGCAGCGCTTTATGTAGGACAATAGTCTCACAGCTGCCTTCTCCTAAGGTTAAATAAAGGAAAAAAATGGACTCCCCTCCATTGTGGCTAACTGCTTTTTATTTTACCTTACTACCAGCTCCGGAAAACATAATGACTGCTTCTAAATCCACCGGGCTGGGAGGCGTAGGAAAGCAGTAGTTATAGCCCAGGTTTTCTCTCAGCTGGAAGTTGTGCAACTACCCATTGGGAACGGTGTCTTCTCCTGGCACAGTGGAGGCCACCAGCCCATTCAGAGACCCCAGCAGGAATTTAAAGTCACAGAAGAATACAAATAAAAGGTGAGGATAGTTTTGGTTCAAGGGTTCAAGTACAGTGTTTTGGAAAAGCAGAGAAATTCTCACACCCTCAGCACAGAAGAATAGATGCACCTTTCATCTGTGGGCCATTCAGTCGTGCCTGTTAGGACCAAACATGACTTCCAGAAAGAGGCCATGGTTTCCATCTCCTCTCCAACACATACAGGGACTAATTTGGGTGGCAAGCAGGTTATTAAAGCTTTGTTCAATCCGCTGAAAGGCAGGGTGGAGGGAGAAACAGGACACAACAGCCACAACCCTTTCCATTTGAGAAATAACAGCTGAGCTTTTCTGTGCCCACAACAACTCACGCAGAACTACAACAAACAAACAGGCAGAAAGATAAAGTATAATACATCAGAACAGGAAGAATTTTGCCCCCCAAAGAGGTAACACCTTCCAAAAAACACATTATAAGAGGCCAGTTCTTCAAGGGGCAAACATTGCAAGGACAAAGGATCTTTAGCGAGCAGCTTTTACTCCTGCCATATCTGCAAATTATCACACTACCAAAAAGAAAGGCACTTCAGGAACCTGGGGAAAACAGATCTATGGAGGTCATTTTTTTTCCCTCTTTATTGGAGATCTTTCACAACCAGCAAACATAACCAACAGTCAGCAGCACAGTTACCCAAACCCCCCATTAAGTAACTGGGATTACATCCACTCTTTGGTCAGCAGGATCATCAGGGACCAATGCAAAGCATTTTTCCCCCCTCTTGAACACCTCACTCCACCACACGGGCAGGTCCTTGTGCACATAAAGATGTCAGAGACAACACCAAGAGCTCCCTAGGTCCCCAGTGTCGATGCTTTCGCCTGTAGCACATCCTGACAGCACCACGGTCACCCCTCACGCAGCACTCTCTACCTGCACAGAAATCCTCCTCCTCCTCATGCTGGTAGGCCTGCTCTTGAATGAGATTCTTCCTGTATACTCGCCCCCCGATCCTTATCAGGGTGGGTCGCAGAATGTCCATCTTGCTCCTCCTCCTAATGCAAAAACAAAGACGGCTTTGATAACTTATGCCAAGGAGAGCTAAATTTCAAAGTTTCCTCGTGAATAATTTGTAAGAGGCATCGGGGGAGCTCTGAGGGGCTCTGAGGTAAACAGTGAGGTCTGCACCTCCACAAGAGCTATAACTCCTGTGCATATGCAGGAGAGACTTCAGAAAGGCAGTACCTTCTCAAACCTCAGGTCACTCATTCAAAGACTAATTTTATGAGAACTTACGAGTACACTCATAAAGCACAATCAAGTAAAACCAGGAAATTTAAGCAGTGGTAAGATATGTAATGAAGCATCAGGGTTTTTGCCCCTGCAAGGAGGTCAACAGCTGATCACCGCTGTCCCTGAAACTCACAGGTTTTAGCTAAAACTCACTGCAGCCTCAGTCAACGTGCCATTTCAGCACCGTTCAGGATTCTGAACAGTTTCACCTCATTATTTTCCATAGCTGCAGACCAAAGAGACCCCAGCCTCTTGCAAGGATTCCCCTACAGCACTGATCTCTCTCAAAACACCTGTCATCCTCCATTAGATTCTCAAAGGCCTAAGGAGCTTTTCAAAAGCCAACCCAGTTCCCTGGATCTGCTCAGGAGGCGGCTGGGGAAGGGAAACAAAGCGCTCCAAGGGGTTGGCGCTGGGTGGTGTAAGCTGTTACACCTCCTGCCCTCCACCTCAGAGCACCATCATAAGTTTGAGGCATACACATAAAGGTCTTACGCTACCCCGCAATATTCCAAACAATATTAGAAATACAGGGTTAAACTTTTATTTATATAAAAAGTTAAACTTTTTATGGTAGAAAACATTTAATGGTGCAAAAGCAAAGAACTGGCAGTCATCTATCAGAGACTTTACATCTTCAGTACTTTAATTTCTACATTCACTGAAATCGTTAACATTAGGTATCTCAGTTTGCCTTGTTTTTTAAAAAAGAAATTTCTGTTACTCATAAGGCAAAGTCTCCACCAAAAAATTCGCCTTCGTCAGACGGTTTACCTGGCCGCTACAACAGAACCTGACAGGAAAAATTGAAGAGCTTGCCTTTGAAGATGCATTTATCCTAAACTGGATTTATTGTATGGGGTGACACAAGGTTCAGAAGGTTAATGCTTTTCCCCTCAATTAAAGCCCCACCTTCTGAAATGACTTACAACCACCCGAACTTAAATAAAAAGGCATTCCTGTAGTTGAAGGGAAGAAGCGCAGACATGAACTGTGCACAGACGAAGACAGAGTAAGCCATGAAAAAAACTCAGTGGTTTGGGCTTTTTTTTTTTTCCTCCCCCCAAACTGCAGAGCCGGTGTCACAATTTCTTGATACAGGACTTTTAAAAAACACTCAGGAGCGACCACACCCCACCGCACCAGCAATGCCTGACTGACTGGGGGGGGGGGGCTTGTCTCTCCACGCACGCAGGAAGAGGGATCGGGCCAGGCTCCTGCCGGAGCCGCGGGGCTGAGCGGCAGACAGGGCACAACAGCCCTGAGGAAGAGCCCGGGAGCCGCGGGGGGCCCCGGGCCCGGCCCCCCGCGGGGCAATGGCCGCCGCAGGCGTTCCCGCCCCCCGCCGCCCCTTACCCCCACGCCCGAAGTAGGAAGGGCGCCCGCCCGCCCCAGCATGCACCGCGAGCGCGATCACGCGCGCCGCTTGCGCCAAGCCGTCCGGGCGCCCAGGTAAGGTTCGGAGGAGCCGGCGCCCCCCGGGAGCGGGAGGGGAAGCGGCCCGGGAGGAGAAGGGCGCTCGGTTGAACGGGAACGGCTGGGT